TGTTTCGCCTTTGTTCGAGCTTTAAGTTCGTTGCACCTTGAGGTCTGGAATTCTCTTCTGATTAAGGCCTTCATTGTGTGGAAAGACATCGGCCGGTCCATGCATTGCAAAATCGTAGTCCCCTTCTTAGCAAGTGTGTCAGCAAGCTCATTGCCTTTAATGCCACAGTGACCAGGAATCCATTGTAGGACCACTGTTTTGTTTTTCTCTCTCAGCAGCTCATAGAGTTTTCTACATTCCTTTATCTCAGCTGTTTTGGATGGCTCTCTGTTTCCAATTGAGTTTATTGCTGACTGTAAGTCCGAAAGTATCACCGCTTTGGTGAATTTCGTATCCAGCAACATAATTGGCATAGTTCTATCCTAATGGCCTCTATTCGTAGATGTTAAGTGGAGCTTTCTACTCACACGTGGTCACATGTAAAGTGTGCAGATTCGCTTCATTGTCACCGATATGGTGTGGGGAGTAAAACTTTGTCCCGACGAAACTGGAGTCCTCCTGGCCAATCAAGGTCCAAAGGTAGTAAGTGGTTACATGACTAGCCACTAGTTAGAACACCAGTACAAGGTTATCATATATTGACCAGAGACCTCCGAAGCAATGAATGACCTAAGCCATGACGAATGACCAAATGACAGAGCCAGTACGCGGTTATCCAACCAATCATTGGCCCAAGTTGTTTCGTGGTTAGCATGTCAGAAAGTGTATGCTATGACTAAGTTCCCAGTTTGGCATCGGAAACTTCCATATAAATGTGTTCCATGTTATAAGTCTGTTTTCTCAATAGCTATGTGATCGCCTAGCTAATCCCAGGAGCCTTTCCAAACATAGTAGTTTCCATACGTGAGTTTTTCTGCCTGACTGCCTGACTACCAAATTATAAATAAAAGAGACTCTTATAATAGGGACAAAGGACAATGAAAATAGTATCAATAAATATTTGTTGAATGGTGATTTGAAAGCAAGTGGAGCCGAGAGCATATTTTGAACTTGCGTTTCAAGTGTAGAGTTAACAACGCTAATATTGCTGAATCAAGGAATCTTATGCGCGTTCGAAAATTCCGGAAGAGGGATTGTCCCAAGTAAACAAGCGTTCGAAACTCAAGCAGATTACTCACCGTTTTCTCTGAAAAAGAAAGCATTAGACATGATATTCGACTGTCGAGCAAAATTGTCCCACATGTCATGCTAGTTAGCACACTTGAAATCTACCATCTCACTTTCCATTCTCCATTCCTCCTGATGTCCGTTTCGGACTTATCCATGTTGACATTGAAGGCATTCTTCCCCACTCCCGCACTCTCCAAACCCCCACAACCACGCTTCCAACTCATTTAGTTCTTTCACCCATCTACCATCTCACTTTCCATCCAAAACAGCTGACCCGTGTTGTTCGTTTAGCGCTTCTGTTGTGAGATGCGAATTTGAGTCTGTTGGAATTTTGGATTTCCATATTTCGTATATCACACCCGAAATCACAACAAATATAAGATCCCAACTCACTTCAGCCCCCCTTTACAGAATTGAATCACTCCCCATGTCTAACCCACATCCAATCAGAGCCTATCACCCAACTGTTTAAAACCGCTATAATTGGTTTGTCTTGGTCGGAGCGTCTTAAAACCACTCTATTCGCTATTAGGAACACCAGTGAGAAAAACATTGATAGCTGTTCTACAGAAATTGTATTTGGCATAACTCTTAGGTGAGATGATACTCGACTCTAAAGACTGAGAGAATATAGACTTCTCGTCGTACTTTACCTCACCAGGTGACCTCTTCAATTCCCCCCCCCCCCAATACCCACTCAACTGAACGATAGATCAGCATAAATTTAAAGACTACTTATCACATCTCTCACAACCCACGTATGATGTACTTTCCAACGATTTGGAAGGTAAAATTAGGCATTTCGTTCTGAATGCCACAGTTTCTTTCTCCTCTCGACTGTTCAACAATGGGCGGTAATTAGTTATCGAGCGTTCTTTCACCACCTTTTAGCACACTAGCACAGCTGTAGAATTGGGGTCATGTGGAGAGTTCAGAACTAACATGCCTGAATTAAGGAATAACAAGTGCAGAGGAATATTTTGGAAGGTGGTTCATTATCATCTAACCAACTTTTTCCATTCATTTAAAGTTGCGTTAAATGCATTCATTTGTTATTCATGGTTGAAGCGGTCATAACCTACACTAAACAATACGCACTTTACAAGTACCTTAGTTGATTTCGAGGGCAAGTGCATGCGTGTATGTGGCATTGTCAAAGAAATATGCATTCCCTAAACTTTAAACACTTTTAGTGTAATTTCAATTTAAATTCAGAATTATCCCAAGGTTAATTATGTAAATACCACCCTTTATCGTAGAATTTATCCTAAACTACTTTAAACCAATGTCGGCATTGTAATAATCATTTCTTCTGAACCACCCCCCCCCGTGTTAAGAAAGGATAATGTGGAGAGGACAAGGTTGTGCAAATAAATCTCATATCCACCCAAACTATCTGCACTTCTTATCGAGTAGTGCGTTCAGAGACCTCTCAGGAAGTAGGAAATCTTGAAAAAAAACACAGTAACTAAAATAGCACCATGTATTCTACACGACATTGAAAAATAAGACATCTAATCACATGAAATGTACAACACAAAATAGCCATAGGACAAATGGCCTCTTTTCTCTAATCAGCTCGGCCAAAACCCCCTATAGTTTCCTGATGGTGGGTAAGGTCGTGGAGGTGGAGGTTGTGTAGGTGGCCTCGGAACATAGGGTGAAGGAAGCATGTGTGAAGGAGGAGGGGAATTAGGATTAGGATAGCCATAACGATGAGGCCCACTTTGCGTTGGTGGCATCGACTGTGCATGACCCATGGAATAATCTGCAGACACAAAATATTCACATCAAACCACTATCACTCACATGGATATTAACACAGTAGTCTCACAATTAAAGAACTCACTGTTAGACGGAAAAGGAAATCGATGACCCATATCGGGAGGGAAGTTAACCTGCCCCGGTTGCCAAAATGACATGTCTGGAAGTAGTCCCTGCTGCTGCTGCTGTGGTGGAGGCATCATCCCAAATGATCCACTCAATTGTGATTGAGCAAATCGAACCTGTTCACCGCCACCTCCAAATTGGTAGGTACTCGATGGACCTCCAAACCGCTGTCGACAGAAGTCGCTGTAAGACTGATAGGCTTGCAGCCGTTGTTGAGGCTGTGGGATCTGGTTTACAGATTGAGGTAGAACTGGCTGGGATAAGTGATTTCGTTTAACAGCACGACCTCTCCCACCTCCTCTAGGTACGCCTTTCGTCGCCTTCATTTGTGGTTGCTTTATGCCTTTTGCTTTCCTTTCCTCCTCGTCGTCTGAGTAGAATTCCTCCTTCACAGACACAAAAGACACGATAAAGGCTATCAATACTAACGACGACACTCGATCAATTCAAATTAACATTATGCTTATCTCGGGTTTGCCCGCACTTTAAGAACACTGCATTGCCAAGGCTACTCATACTCAAACTGCGTTAACAGGCACGCAAACATACACAACGTCCACACCAACTTACACTCTCCATACATACGGTGTTGTTCGTGGTTCAGGAAGCGGAATAATCAGAAAACGAACTGCTGACCCTACCTCCAAAACCTTCTTCATCGACATCGATTCTTCTCTTTCTCAAACACAATTGCTCTGAGATTCAAGCACCTATTGGCCTCAAGTGTCCCAAATTACTCTTCACTTTAATCTTATTTTGCATGACAGGAAGGGTAAGATCATAATTCCCCTCAATCTTTCTATAAACACCTCTTTCAAAAGTAGACATTGACTAACGGNGCATAGTAGATTTCATCTCCAACCTTCACGTCAACCTCTATTTTTACAGGACAGGGAGGAATCTCTTGTGCGGCAGTCGACGCTTTTCCTTTTCTCTTTTCTGAAGTTTGTCTTCGATTCTCGTAGATAACCACATAAGAGGGCTGTTTTACTTGGCCAATTATATCATAAACGAGTCCCATAGGTCTTCGATCGGCGAAGTAAAGTGCTGAATCTCTGTCCAAAGCCGGGACTCCGGGAACGGATCGAATTACAACTACACCGTCAAAAAATGCAGTCACCTTCCCCAGTTGAAGCAACTTAACACTAGGCAACTAAAGAGTGAGAAAATGAGAGCAAAAGTGAATGAATTACAGGTGCTTGCGGTAACCTTGGAACATAGTCAAATTCAATTTCCAGAGGCTGACTAGGTCTTTGGACGGTCTAAAATGAAAGGGGTGGGGAATTAAGAAGTGGAGGCAACTTGAACAAACCCGTGGGTGGCCATAGTGCTTTCGAGCAGGTCCTTTTGCTTTTCTCGAACAATGGGAATCCTGAAATGCAAGAAATAAGAATATGTTTCAATGAAAAAATAGATCTTCCAAGCAATTCCCACACTACGTCTATAAATCTCTAGATTGGCACAGCAAAATTGTGACCCTTTCGAAACCAATCGTCTTAGATCATTTCCACGCTGTGCAATCTATGGCACAAAACAATGATGGCACTTCGGTTACTATTACTGAGACTCAACGGAGACCTGCAGTCCAAACTCCACTTCATGTCTCAGGAACACATGCAATTAAAAATATCTACATCTTGATTCACTTATTTGACTACCTAGCAATGCAACAATAGTGGTCTTGAATTCAAAATGCAAAAATCAATAGTTCAAAGCGAGAAGAATGTAACCTCTGAACTTTGCTCAGATTCCGAACTTGTTGATTCTTCACTGGACTCCGCCTTAACTGCCTCAATAGGATCGCGATAAGAACCCTGAAAAAAGAAGCAATTTAATGGCATGAAGTGTGCAGATGATAAATATAAATTTCAAACACAAGTACAATAGAGGAATATTAGACAATCTTAATTCAATTGAATTAGGAATGTGCCCTATAAGATAGTATATATCGGATTTCCATGAGCACTTCTTACGACTCCAAACAGCTCTCAATAAGATTAAACCAGTACCAATAACTACTCAGTGAAATCAGCACAACTCGAAGCCATTACACCTGACTATGCAAACGAGCAGCACACCACAACCACCAACTGACTCTGGATATTTCAAAACGTAAAACCTGTAAGTGACAGGGAAAATGCTCAAAATGCTACTTTAAATGGGCCAAAATAGAATAAACGGTAGGAAGACCCCTAAGAACGATAACATTAGCTATAGCTCGGCAATAGCAAAGGTGTGGAGAAGGGGAATTGAATCAATCAACATACTTATAATTTGGTAGAATCTTTGACAGTTGAAAAATATGAATGCTAACTTCACCTGTAGATAGGCATAAAAATTCCAGAAATAAATAGGGTTAATTCAAATTTACCGGGATATTTTCGACAACCGCAGGCGTACTCTTAGAAGTGGCCGAAATATCAGAAAGAAGACAGCGTGAACCGGAATGTTTGGTAGCGAAATGCTAAAAATGAACAACAGCAACATGAAAACTGTATCAACGCGTCGCCTATTACGGAATGTCCATAGATTCGTATATAATGCGGTTGCTATAAAGTCATGTAGCTCTACATTAATTGCCACACGAATTAAGACTGCAAAAGTTTAAAATCAAGCAGTCACAATTAATATATATTTTCTGCAGCACAGCAATAAAATTAAAGTAAGCATGTTATACAGATATGTTCCAAAAGTGAATTTAACCTGTAAATCTTTGTTTTCAGCATCTGAACTTCGTGTAGCGCACCAAGAGCTCTCAATTACACCTTTATTTGAAGAAATTGCACCGGAATCACAATCCATTGAACTATTATGGACGCCAAAAGAAGAAATACGAGTATACTATTAATAGTTTTTAAAACCTGACATCAATATAATCGATAAATAATTCTGTTGGTATTTAAAACTAAGAATTGCATGTGATAAATAAAACATATATGGAATACTATGAAGACCATATTAAGCAACTCTAAACCGACCTGGTGAGTGCAAGTCACGTTGTGAAATTGGAAAAGGTCGCCTTCCAAATGCTCTTTTCTAACAGTTCTGTATAACTTTTATAATTACTAATAACCATCTTAAATTAAATCGACTTACAAGTGAACTGTATAGTAAATGAATTAAGAACATAATTATTTTAATTCAAGTTTTTTCATGTTTTTTATTACAAAATTTGTTTGATATTTAACTCACTTTTTGTCAATATTTTCAGTGCTTAAATAATTTAGTGATTTCTAAGAGATAACAAGAACGAGTGTTTTTTCTCTGAATTAATTTACCTTATCCTTTTTCCTTTAGCTAAATCCTCTGGGTCGCCTTATATGTAATCGATCTGTGATCTACTTGGGATAATACTTTGCTTTTGATCATATTTCAATAAGCTTTGTATTTCTTAGAGTATGGATCGAAATTTCATGTTTCAACTTCGTCAACACCTTATACGCAATGATCCGAAAACAAAAACTGAAAAAGACCAAGCTCGTACCGAAGTCTTAATTAAGAAAGCCTATTGCGAAAAATTGGAAAATTTGGGCGAATCAGCTATGCGTCTCTTCAAAATAGAACACATTAACTATTTAAATAGACGTCTTTTAGATCTTCCCGAATCCATAGAACATCTTGACGCAAGTCAGCCTTGGCTCGCGTATTGGATTGTTCACTCTTTGCGACTACTCTGCTATGAGCTATCAGATAAACTCAAAACTAGCATTATGAACTTTGTAAAAAGCTGCCAACATCCTCAAGGTGGATTTTCAGGCGGTCCTCATCAACTTGCTCACTTGGCGCCAACTTACGGAGCTGTTAATTGCCTTGTTTCGCTCAATTCCGCCGACGCTTTGGATGTTATAAATCGTAAAGCCCTTGGAGATTGGCTACTATCCCTGAGGCAACCTGATGGGTCTTTTGTAATGCATCATGGTGGCGAAGTAGATGTTCGAGGAGCTTATTGTGCTATCGCAGCCGCTTCCATAACTGGAATTATCAAAACCCGTCCTGAAATATTTAAAGGAACTGCTGAATGGATTGCTCGGTGTCAGGTTAGTTACCTGAAAAAAAATTATTCCTTTGTCTTTAGGCAGAATTGTATGTCCGTTTTTCTTTAATTAAGTAACTTTTTTATCATTAATGTTTTAGTTTAGCTTCGTTTTATCAACTGATGCAATTTCCAAATCATAAACCACACAGATTTATTAAAGGGATTTGAACAAAACTATAATCAACAGCATCCTACTTTTTGGCTTTTCTTTAGTGTAATGTGGGAGCAGATTTTTGCGATTTCAGGTAGTCTAAGTTCCAATCTTAGGGATATAAATTAGTTACGCTTCCTCAAGCGTTTTCTGACTTTGATTTTTATTCCTCTTCCGTTTCCTTTTCATTTTATCACAAATTCATGTTAGAAGCGAGTACTTTTTTATATGAGACATTCGGAAAAATTCTTTTCTGTATTTGAGTTACCTTTTTTGGTTTTATATATTATTTGTCTGATAAGACAAGCTTATCAAAATATTCTTATCACTTGTCACCTTAATTTGCATCTTTCTCTTGCATGCCAACTTTAATGCGATATTTAAAATAGGAAATATTATGACATTCAAGGGAGTAAAGTTCATTCAAAAGAGCATCCAGTTCTTTAATTAGCTTTTTCCCACAGATATTTTCTCTGGTTTCAAGAACCTTAGCAAGTCGAAAGGACATTTATTTGGACTTTTAGATATTTACATGTCGCTGTTATTGACTTCATGTACCATCAGGAAAGTTTTCATGCTATTATGACTTTTTGCCCTTGTTACATGTGATTTAAAATATTCGCTGTATTACTTGGCACGTAAGTTTTAATTAGCGCCTACAATTTGCTACAAGGTGAAAACCTGGTTTCGTCTTCTTGTTATGTGAAGTGGCAACCACGTGCAACATTACATTGCCAAGAAAAAGCCCCTTTGAAGTGTTTAATTTGCAAGCTAAAGTTTCAAGGTCTGATTGGTGAATAATTAATCTGGAGTATCGAAAACGGTGAAGTAACGGGCTATGTGGTGTCCTTTTGTTAGATTTCGTATTACATATCCACAAGCTACAGATATTTATTCATTATGGGTGTATTAAACGGCTTTAAAGTTGCCGTCTGTAAAAATCTCCTTTTTTGTCTTCCATAGACCTATGAAGGTGGTTTCGGTGGTCAACCGGGACTAGAAGCCCACGGGGGATACTCCTTCTGTGCTTTTGCAGCTCTTGATCTTCTGAATGCCATTCACTTGGTTGATGTTTCACGTCTACTTCGTTGGGCTGCTAACCGGCAAATGCCTACTGAAGGTGGTTTCCAGGTTCGTCTTCACCATTTTATTAATTAACTTTTATATTGTAACGGATAGTAGGTAGTAAGATATGAGTATAAGTAGGCTATATGTTCATTATTTTCCCTCTAAGAGCTTTTCTCAGCTCCCAAATGTGTAGTAAATTTGTTTCTCCGACAAACTTCTGAGGAGTTAGATGAGTACTGTTCTCACATCACCTTTTTCACGTCGCTAGAATGTGCCATTAGCGTCTTAACTTGCGCAGGATTTTCTATTTCATCTCAAGTTGGGAGTAATTTTATGCAATTTCCTTTTCCGTTTTCTTGATTATCAAATCATACTTTGCAATTTGGGAGTTTATTGCGCTTGCATAACTGTACATTTTCAAGTATAGTAAATTATTTAAATAAAGTGACACTTAGATATTGCAATTCGTGATGAAATGGTGGGTCGGTATAATGCGGATCCCCATCAGGTTAGCATCTTTTGCTTAAAAAGTTAATTTCATTATATCACATCATAAGGTTCTATAGTGTTTAACTATGATAGCCATTTGTCTCCCTTTATACGTATACGCCATTGTTAGGCTAATAAATCTGCTAGTGTGTTACGCCTCCCCACTCCACACCCCCCCCCCTCCGTTCTTCTGTTTCGTCAACTGCAGTTCTAGCTGTGTTCTTCCAGCAATAGCCTCGTCGTTTAATAAGCTCTTTTAGCGATGCTACTGGCTTTCTTCGTCATTGACTTTTTCTCACCCTTCCCCAATGCGTAACTGCTATGGCATTAAAAAACGACTTCTTTTTAACTACTGGGACATGTATAAGTAGTATATCGTCAACAATTTTGTTGCCAATGCATATGGCCTGATAGTAGTTACCCCGCATGGACTTAGATGCATGTTTTTTTTCACCTCGATTGGAAAATAGAATAGAACTTTTGCTGTTTGTTGTTGGACCTGCCGTCGCTTAGTTACAGCTTTCTCAGCTAATCTATCAATTCTTGCCTGCTTCCGAGGTTATAGACAAAGCATAGAGTCATTGGGCTGCGTCAATAAATAGAATCCGCCTTTTTCAGCTCTGTAATCAATAAATTCCACAGTTCGAATTCTCCTCCAAATTCTTATCGCGCATTATGCCACAATCGGCATGAGTGAATGATGATTGTGCATTGTGCGCATATAAATTTTGTCGTACGCTTTGATAGCCACCTCTTATTATTAATAACTTCAATTTTTATCTTTTTGTCATCAAAGTACTAAGTGAAAGCATCTTTAGTGAATGTGCTGCTGCTGCTGCTCATCTTGAATCGCATTTTTTTCCCATGAGCAGGGTAGAACTCACAAACTCGTAGATAGTTGCTACTCGTTTTGGGTGGGTGCAATTTTTCCTCTGCTGGAGCAATTCCTTTTCGAGAACACCACCTCCTCAGGCGATTCCACTCGTCCTGAATACACCCTGTTCGACACTTCTGCTTTACAGGTACGTTCCGCCTTCCCACATATCTGACATTTGAGAAAACTCATCCTTTCAGGCTTTTAAGGCCACGAGTTCTAATTAAAATAGACTCCTTTAGAAAGCACATTTCAGGGAGTTTGAAAATTTAAGCATTATCTGGGAGATGGTGTATTAACTTAGCTTACTAAGAATTAGCATAATCATGTGATAAAGATGACTGAACTTTATTTGCTCAGGTGAACCGAAATGCGGAGTTGTATATTAGTTGTTGATATCCCTGCGCAGCCTGTAAAGATCAATAATCTAATTGGGATTGGATTAATTAAGGGAAGTTGCTTAGCAGATTGGAGGACATTTACTAATCGTGATCCCAGATCACTTGAGTCATATAAGTGCTCATCATTTTGCTCAAATTTTCTAATTGTAGTTGTGATGGCTCTAGTTTAAGCTTGACGTTGCACGTCTATCCCTATAAGGTCAATTGAAAATGTTTTCCTTCAGTGGGTTCAGAAGCAGGAGACCCTCCATGTTAGAAATTGGGCGGAAATGTTGTGCTTGCTCACCTTTTCCTAGTTGCTGCCTCATCTCTAACAGTTGCACCATAGCTGTCACGCACTATACGTGGTCAGTCACGCAAACGGCCAATGGCAGTATCCACTTGAAGTGCAGTGGTGATTTCTTTCTGTGATCCAACTGCCAAGCTTTTGCTGAGCAAAGATTCGTTGTCAACCTGTTCATCACTCTGTATACCAACCCACTATGCGTATTTCACACGTGACTTGGTCTGTGCCCTCTTAAAAGTATGGCTGTTATATGACAAATGCCTGTTTTGCTTTCCTCCAGGAGTACATTATCCTGTGTTGCCAGAAGGTTCATTCCTCGCCTCCAGGTCTCTCAATACCCAACGATCGGTCCCCGGTGATAAATGCGAGTGGAGGTGGTCTCTTTGACAAGCCTGGCAAGAATGTGGATCCCTATCACACATGCTATGCATTGAGTGGTCTCACAGTTGCTCAACACTCTCCACGTATTCCAGATTCTTCTACCTCAACTAATATCGAAAATTCAGGTATTTGCAACTGAGGATTTAACCCCCCTCCCCACATTTCGTGAACTCTAATGGTTAAATATGGCGTGAATGTCCTGGGCTTCTTATGAGATGGCATTACTCGGGTAGTAAGTTTGTCAGTAGCTAAATTTAGCCGACTCATTGTTATGAATTTTACTTTAGTCTATTTTAGAAGCGCCTGACTGGTGTTTCATTTGAAAATAGAGTTTTTTAAAACCTGCCCCCTCTTTATCACCTCGGCTACCGGTTTTAACCCCCCCCCCCCCACCCCACTTCCCTCCAAATCACTCATAAGATTTTCCCCCTTGCAACATTCGATTTCGATCCTGCAACTGCTGCTACCTGAAATGTCTTCAATTGGTCTACTCAGAAATCGATGCGATGTGAATCCCTCTTGTTAAATCAATAGATATTAAATGTCACCTTGAGGGAATTGTATTATAATCTTATCTACCACTGACTAACTGAACTTAGTCGTCTGGAGAGAGAATTTAATCGATCAACTGGTATTAAAGCGTTCTCTCTTTGATTATGCTCTTAGCACTGAGGACAAGATCTCGCTCAAGAACTTAAGGTTTAATTTAACGAAATTTGAACTCTGATGCGAGACACAATGAAGGTGTGAAAGTGCGCAACAACTTAATATTTTCAAAAAGTCAAATAAATCTTGCCACGGAATGTGCTAAGCCATTGTCTATTTGTACTTAATCGCTCCTCACTGTTGCATCAATTAACAGGTCTATTTTGTCTCACCTCCTGTTCGAATGCTTTCACGTGGAGTGATAACTAAGATTGGCTTCAAAACCTTTGACGACTTTTCATCACCTTTTAGATAATCTTCCTTATCCACCAGTTCCCGCGCGAGATGTGGCTGGTTGCCAGTGGGGCAATGAGCTAGCTGATATCGACCCAGCGCTTAATGTAGTGCTTGATTCTGCCGTCTTTGGGCGTACCTACTTCAGCCTTCTAGACTCCTCTGTGAATCGTGATGAAGCTGCCAGCCAAGCCATGGAAGCTGCCGAGGCCATGGCTTTCAAACTGACAGTTTGTGACGAGCTAATTGGGGGAAATCACGAGGAATCGGATGTCTCCGAATCGGGTTACTCTCTCCCAGACATTTGTACATCGCCTTAACTAGAGATTGAATAATTATTGTGAGAAACGTTTGACCTAATTCCTTTGTCTCTTTTGGGATCATTGTCATTGAAGCCCTGGTTTTTTATGCCTTTTTAGCAAATAGTTGTAATTGGTTGTGGTAGATAATTTTAGCTCTTGCCCTTGGTAACTGAAAATGAAGACGCATGATGGATGGACCATTGTTAAGGTCATCAGTCGCTCTCTCTCTTGTGGTAGAGCTTGAAGCAAATAAGATGATAAAGTTAAACAAAGATGTATCGATGGGTATAAGAATGTTAGGATGCAACCATCTAACCACAATGGGGCTACGAGAGATTTAAACTACGGATATCTCATTTTAGCGCCCCCACCCCTCAGTAATTCCTGTAACCAGATTAATTTTCTTATGTTATTGACATTTTGACTTGTTCTGAATAGCAGAAATGAAAATTGCCATACTTCGGGGGGTAATGTAAATTCTTGATCAGCTTTTCACAAGAATTCATTCTCGCGCCTGAATGCATTATCGTAGTGTTATTGATTTTTATGCTCATTGGCGTGCCTTGACGTCTTCATATCCATTTGCAAGTGCGTCGGCGTTCGCGTCACTTTCCTTACATCCAATTAATTTGGCATCCATCTCACTTAATTTAACTAATAAATGGACATTTCACTGCGTTTTAATTGGCCTTCTTGTGTTCTTCCTCATTTCCGTGAATGTTTCAGGTATTCAAAATACAACACTCCTTTTTTTACTCCAATAGCTCATTGCGATTTTCAGACAATAACTATTATTAGATTAATAGATATCCATTATTTGTGTAACTTTTTGTGCCTGGTTGAAAGAAGGGGAATGAAAATTGCATTAGTGTTGTAGATAATTTATTTATTTCAAATGGCAGGCGTTTCGATAGTTATCATTAGCCCTTTAGTTGACTTCGGGCTTCGCAGAGCGGAAAGAACATTGAAGTGAAAAAAAGTCGAGTCGGGGTGGGGGGGGGGGGGGGGGGGGGGGGGGGGGAACAGAAGGGTGTTTCAACGACGAAGGTAGACAATTTAGAAAAAAGGTGAGGTGAGTACTGTGAAGTAGTGAAATATGACATACAGTCGAGTGATGATAGTTTGAAGTCAGAAGTCAACTGCCGATTTATAGACATTTTGCCGTACGAGTATACGTTGCCCAGGGTGTACCACGTGGAGGTGAGTCTATCGCACACCCCGCTTTTCCTAATATAATGGAAATAGTTCAACTAACTCCCTGAGATTGCACATACTCGGGTACTTTGCCAAGGAGATTACTGAGATTAAGTAGTACTAGATATGGGTGTCTGTGTATATTTCGCACTGTACGAGCTACTTCGTATACTAATCCATGGGGTCTGCTGTAGACTTACCTCCACGTGGTGCATACTGAGCAGCGTATACTCATACGACAAAAAGTCTATAAACCGGCAGTTGACTTCAAACTGCCATGGCCCCACGGTATGTTAAATTCAACCACTTCACAGTACTCATCTTACCTTTTCTCTGCCTTTGTGTCTGTCTGTCTCTTTTACATCTGTGAATCACTCTTCTGTTCCTCCTCTCGAATTTTTCTCACTTTGATGCTCCTCCCCACTGTGAAGCCCGAAGTCAGCTAAAGGTGCTAATGATAACTATCAAAGCGCCTGCCATTCGAAATAAATATATCCTTCTCCGTTCGACTATAAATCTTTTGTTTAGTGATAGCAAACCAGTTCACGGTTTCCGGTGTTTAAGCTCATGTGAATGATTTAATTTTCGGGACACTTACAAGCTTATCTGGATAGTTATGCATGTCATTACTAACAGCGTTCACATTTTGCTTCGCTGTGAATGAGTGTTCCAGCTGTGAACTAAGATTCTACAAGTTAGAATAACCTGGAAAGAAGCCAATTGAGGAGCATAGGAGATTGGGAGCTCAAAATTATTGTATGAAGAGGGAGGGGGTGGGGGTGCGCGATAGACTTACCTCCAATTGGTGCACCCTGGGGAACGTATTCTCATACGGTAAAAAATCAATTAACTGCCAGTTAACTTCTGACTTCAAATTACCATCACCCCACTGTATGTCATTTTCGACCACTTTCACAATACTCATTTTACCTTCTCCCTGCCTTTGCGTCTGTCTGTCCCTATTACATCTTTGAATCACTCTTCTGTTCTCCCTCTCCACTTTTTCTCACTTTGATGTTCCTCCCCTCTGTGAAGCCATTCTCACTTTGATGTTCCTCCCCTCTGTGAAGCCCGAAGTTAGCCTAAGGGGTTAACGACAAGTATCATAAAGCCCGCCATTTGAAATAACAAAATAAATTTTATGTAGAAGTGGTACACTCGGCGTTTGGGACAGGTATCCAACTACTGGTTTGATTAATGACCTCAAAAACAATCTGTCTGCGAAGGAGAGGCTATAAATTCATGGAGTGTGAATTCTAGACAAAAGATGGGTTCAAAAAGCATGGGAAGTGGAACAACTTGATTTCATCTCCCAATTCAATTCAATTAAAAGGTAAATGGGAATGCCCGAAAAGTAGGCCATGTGGTCTAGTCACTGAGACCGTCAAATATGCAGTCTCCCAGTCTTGTTGGCTGTGCTTCGGCGCGGGGAAAAAGTGAGAGGTAATCGATGGAATTTTGGGGACAATTTAAATCCGAAATCAATTAAGTATGTCGTTTATGTGATAAGGTGGTAGGAACGAATGTTTTCGAGGTTTAAAAGAGCTATTAGATTGGCAACTAAGTCATTGCCGATTTCAAATAAGAAGGCAAATTCGGAATTTTTGTTTAAAAATATAACTTTATTCAATTAGATATTGGCCGTTCTTGTCGATGACCTTTTTACATAATAATTTTTGCCGAGTAACCAAAGGTGTGTGGGGCCTTGCGTTATCATGATGGAAAACAACACCCTTCCGATTTGATAATGCCGGCCGCTTATCTTCAACTGCATCCTTCAGTTTTTCGAGTTGTTCAACATACACAGTTGAATTTATCGTTTGGTTCTGCGGCATGAGTTCAAAATACAAAATTCCTTTGTGATCCCACCAGACTGACAGCATAATCTTTTTTTGGTGAATCTCTGCTTTTGATACTGTTTGGGCTGGTTGATCTTGCTTCACCCATGATCTCTTGCGAGTAACATTCTTATAAACTATCCACTTTTCGTCGCCAGTAACTAGGTTCTTCAGAAATGGATCATTCTCATTGCGTTTCAGTAGCGGCGAATCACAGATGCTAATCCGTTGCGTCAAATGAATTTCCTTTAACTGGTGAGGGATCCATAAATCAAGTTTCTTGACATAACCAAGGGTTTTTAATTTTTTTTCAATGCATGTATGCGACACATTGAGCTTCTCTGTAATATCTCGTGTTGTGCTGTGACGATTTGAATCGATAATGGCCTTGATATGGGTTTCATCCACTTCGACTGGGCGGCCAGATCGTTGTGAATTTTTCAGTGAAAAATCACCGGAACGAAATCTTTCAAACCAATTTCGACACTGCCTTTCTTTTAAGGCTTCATCTCCATNCGTATGAGTATACTTTGCCCAGGGTGCACCACGTGGAGTCAAGTCGATCTCACACCCCAAATTTGCAAATATAGATTTGTGGAATATTATTAGCCTCAATCTTATTTTGACTGGTTAAACAGTGAAGAGACCTTTGGAATAGTGAATGTTTCATTACACCATTCTAAATTGTTAAGATTTCAAAAGTTAAAGTTGTTTGTTTGGAAACAAAGTACCTTTTAATTTTACCTCCAATGTCTCTCTGAATCCTTAATTGCAGGTTGTTACTGAAACGAATTTCCCCGATTAACAACTCGTTTAAACTAATTGGACAGTGACATTGACATGGCGATACTCATGACCCCAGATATACAGTCATGAGATCGCAGCTTTACTGTAGTACACAGAACAAGTGAGGAAATGGTTAATTTCAATTAAGGAAAGCCTCTGACTTAAATCCCGACTTGGAGTGTGCGATAGACTTACCTCCACGTGGTGCACCCTGGGCAACGTATACCCATACGGCAAAAGTCTATTAACTGGCAGTTGACTTCTCACTTCAAACTACCATCACCTCATTCAATGCCATATTCGAATATTTCACAGTACTCACCTCACCTTTGTTCTAACTTTGCGTTTGTCTCTTATATCTTTGAAACACTCTTCTGTTCCCCCCCTCCCTATCGACTTTTTCAATTTGATGTTCCTCCTCCCCTCCGCGAAGCCTGAAGTCAACTAAAGGGCTAATGATAACTATCATAAAGCCTGCCATTTGATATAAGTAAATCCCGACTTAAATGCATATTTCGACTATTTCATTGCTTCCCCTATTCGGGGATTTAACCATGGTGCACAATCATTAGCTTTGCCATGGATGACAACAACCGAGTCAGTTTGAGCTGACAAAGCACAAATCAAAAGCGAGAGAGAGAGAGAGAAGGGGTAACAAGTATCATAGGTTATATTAATATATAGATATACTGTGTTACATATTTTAAGAAGAGGGGATAGAGCTGTGCTTACGCATTGAGGTGTGTCTACATGGCGTTTCATTGTATTTCATTTCATTTCATTTCACATGGTTAATTTTTTTCATTTTGAGACATTTTTACCAAGCAGGGGTCACAAGACAGAGTAAGAAGACCGGTAAAGAGAGAGAGGGGGGGGGAAAGACAAACTCGCAAAACACCAAAAGAAGACGACTACACACAGACAGGAGGGGGGGGGGGGGGGG